CCCCCCCCCCCCCCCCCCCCCCCCCCCCGCCCCCCCCTCTCCGCCCCGCCCCCCCCCCTCTTCCCCCCCCCCCGCCCCCCCGCGTCCCAAACTGCGCACAATAGCTCGCCGGCTCCTCTATCTATTTTGTGTCCGGCCGGGAGCCGCGCTCGATGATTCATTGCCCCAATTAGGGGTGCTCTCCTGCAAGCCCGGCGCGAGCCCTCTGAAGGGTCTCCTCGGGGACCCGCGGAAACCCATCAGCCGCTAGAGCTGGTCTTTAAGTAAAGGTCAAGCAGGACGCGGGAGGAGCCAGGTAAGGACGCGCCCGGCGTCCCCCGGAGACCGAGGAGCCCGGCGAGGAAGGGCAGCTCTCCGGAGGGGCAGCCTCCGCCCCCAAGTAGGGACGCCGCCAAATGAGCTGGGGCGGCCCCGGCCCCCTCCCCATTCTAAAGGGCCTTTTACAGCCCTGAAGAGCCCTGGTTTGGGGGCACCTCTCAGGGCCCAGGGTTCTAATCTTGGTGACAGAGGGACCAGGAGCTGTCCCCTATCCCCCAGAACACATTAGCCAATGCACCGTCCTGGCCCTCCCCACCTTCGGCCAGGGGCAGAAAGGGTCCTGTATGTCTGAGCTGTGTGTTCCAGGGCAAATGACTTGACAACTCTGGGCCCTTTCTTCCTCTTCTTAAGCAGGAGCTCTGGCAGGGGATTAACTGTTTCCATGTATTTACTTACCTATGTATAGATACATGTATTTATTAAACAGAGAGAGAGAGAGACCTCAGTATGTGTCAGGGGCAGAATCTAAGCACTTTATACACATCTGCTCAGTCGCTCCTCCCAATCACTCTGGGTTAAGTGCCGTGATCGGCCCATTCTACAGATGAGAAAGAAGAGACACTGAGCATTAAGGTACTCTTCAGGAGTGGCGGAGCTGGGATGCAGACGCCGGCAGCCGGCTCCAGGGCCCTGTTCTCAACTCCCCGGCTGTGCAGCGTCACTAAGCAAACGTCTGGTCCCCGTCATCCGTCTGCTGATGGAGACTGTCCACGGCAGGAGACACAGCCAGGACCTCTCCATCCTCCCTGCCGCTCTGGCTCCAGCTGGGAGGCCTTGTGCAAATCCAGGCCTCTCTGGGCCTCACACTTCCCATCTGCAAAATGCCCACCCCTTCCAGCTTCAAAAATCTACGAGTCTCTGATTTCTGAGCAGTGAACAGTCGTCCCAACCTGCCAGCTGGACCCCAGAGTCAGCCCGGGGACAAAGGTGCCAGGTGAGCCCCTCTGCCCTCTGGGGCACTGATGTGTAAGTAAAACTAGGCTTCCTCTTGGCATGGAGGAGGGCCATGCATTATAAATAAATGGAACAAGAGAAAAGGGCCACCTCTTTGGAATCCCTGGTGGATATTCCAGGGATCGCAGTCCAGGGGTCAACAGGAAAGTCACCATCATCATCATGGCCAGAAATGCAGGACTGCGGGTCCTCACGCTGGCCAGAGAAAAGGCTGTGTCAGCAAAACTGTCCCGAAGGAATGTTGGGGGCAGGGCGAAGGGGCTTCCCCGCTTCTGGCATTTTTTTTTTTTTTAATACCTGCTGAGAGGAGGGGGCCTGATTAGGAAGACTTTAAAGGGTGAGGCCTGTTTAGTTGTGTCCTAGCACATCTCTCAAGCTCCACGCAGACCGAGAGCTTGCTGGGAAAACAATCCCTGGCTCAGGAAAGGCAGGTCCTCTATGGAGTTGCACGTGGGTCGCCTAAGGCTTGGCACATGCCGCTCCTTGTTTCAAATGCTTTTCCAGGCTGTCTTTGTGAAGCCAGCTCCTCTCCTCTTTAAGGTCTTGGCTGCAGTATCTCCTCCCAGAGGACTCCATGCTTTGTTCATCTAAAGCTGCTTCCCCTGGCATTCTCGGTCTCAGCTCATTGGCATGGGAGTTTGCCATTGATTTTATTGTTCTCTTGTCTATTCTCTGTCTGGTTTCCCCAGGAGCCTGGTTGCTCCCTCCTGTGGGAAGCAGGTCTGTCTTGCTCACTGTGTAGATTCCAGGGCCTGGCTCACTGCCTGGGTGCCACACACCTGGGTTCCAATCCTGTCCCATCCCTCTCGAGCTGTGTGAGCCTTGGGCAAACCTGTTAGCTCCCTGAGCCTCAGTTTTCTGCTCTGTGCAATGGGATCGTAATCCTCACCCAACTTTTTTGCGAGAATCACAGGGGCCTGGCACGTTGTAGGTGACTCTGTACGTGTGTGTGTGTTGATCCTTCCTGGCTCTGTCCAGTGGCTGACGAGGTTCTGCTACTGCCTGTCTGCACTCCGAGGTGAGGGGGGCGCTGTGGTGAGGCCACACACACGGTCTGAGGGAGGAGGGCCACAGGGGTCAACAGGACCAAGAGGGAGGTGGATTTTGGCTAAGCTGGAATCATCCAGAGAGTGTCCTGAGTATGTGCCACATGTGTGAAAGTTCGTGTACACATGTGTTGGTGTGTGCAGATGTTGTGTGCATGTGTATGCGTGTGTACAGGCACACAGGCCTGCCTTCACATGAGTGTGCATGCGTTAGTGTGTGCATTCCTGTGCGTGTGAATGCATGTGTTCACGTGTGTGCCTATGTGTGTGTATAAGCAGGCCGCGAGTGGGAGGAGAGAGACGTCCACTGCATGTTTCTGTTTCGTTCACTGACCCGGTGACTCAGGAAAGCCCCTGGGCACAGGTCTCGGGAGCCGGGGAGCAGGTGAGCACAGATCAGAGGAGGAGAAAGGCAGGTGATGACGGCTGGTCATTTGTGGACGGGTGACCGGGCTGGGGACACTGGCGCAGCCCGACACACCACAAGGACATCACAGCTCTGCCGTTTACGAGCTGTGTGGCCTTGGCCTGCTGCTTAATCTCTCTGAGCCTCGGCTGCCCCATCTACAAAACAAGGATAACGAAACGATGCACCCCACGGGGCTGGGAGAAAGGTGAAGTGAGACGGTCCAGGCAGAGCACACCCTCCGGACGCAGACCCATGTGCTTGTGCACATGGGTCGATGGTGAAACATACACAGTCCCTGGTGAATTTCTGCGGCGAGCCAGAGAGGTAGATTCTGTTACGTCCTCAGTTTCCAGGTGAGGAGACAGAGAAAGGAAGTAGAGGCCCAAGGTCACGCAGCAGGTAGAGCTGGGGCTGGAGCCCAGGCGGTGTGTCTCTGTCACTCCCTGGCTTTGTTGTCCCTTAGCTTTGCCCCGAGCCCCGCGATGCCAGCCTGTCCTCACACATGTCCCCACTTTCACACCTAAAGCGACTGAGACACAAAACAGGCTGTGTCTGTGCCAGAGACACGGGGCAATCTCAAGGTTCATGCGTATCAACTTCATATCAGAGCCACGGCCTCCAGACCCCAGCAGAGCCAGCTCCTGGCTTCCCTCTGAGCCCCGCAGCCCTCCCTGCAGCTGGGGAGAGGGTGCCAGGCTCCCCCTAGACCACATGGATTGCCATCCAGCCCTCTCCATCCTCATTCCTAGGACTCAAGCGCGAAGGACTTGAAGAGCAGCGACAGATGCTCCCAGGCGGCCCCGGCACTGGGAATGGGGAGAAAACGCCCACCTCGGGTCTATAGGAGACCAGGAGGCCGTGAGCCTGGAATATCCGGGCACCTCTCAAATTTGCGGCTTCCTGTAGGGTCGTCTTGGCCCAGGAACTGCGGGAATCTGCCCTCGCCCTGCGGGGGAGAGCAAAGCTTCCAGGCTCCGAGCACTCATCACACGTTGGATTATGTGTCTGTCTCTGGGTGACTTCCCTCGCTGTGTCCCACAGCGTTACAAGGCCGGGGACATAGCTGGGGCCCAATCCATGCTGAAACATGGGATACCAGACTCTATCCAAAACCTCACAGTGCCTTCCAAGTTCCAGGATCTCCTGCCAGCTTCCAGTCTTTCATTCTTTTGAGTGCCAGCAATCCAGACTAAAGCCTTCCATGTGCCCCCAGCTCCCCGCACCAACCCTGCGGTACCTCACCGGTACCCTTCTCTGTTTCCTCCTCTCTCTACACGGCGAAAGGTCCTCTGGCTCCTCTCCCAGGACCCATTCACCTTCGGAGGCTGGTCCATCGTTCCTCTTTCAGAGGCTACGTGTGCTGTGTGTTGGCCTCTGGTTCACTGGGGACCAGAAAAACAAAATTTATCATCTGACTGTCGTATTTTTTTTTCTTTCCATTTTTTTTTTTTTTCCCCGTAAGAATGAAGCAAGCACTTCTCCTCTGTGCTCAGAAAGAGCTTCAAACATGGCAGGCCACAGGCAAAAGCATATCCTCCTCCTCAGAGGGAAGGAATGCAACCGTTAACAATAAAAAAAAAAAAAAATCCCTGGGATTTATGGAGGCCTTGGGCTTAGGAGCTGCCTCACATCCGTTAGCTTGTAATGACACAGAGATCCAGAGGGGGGCGAAGCAGGATTCACCAGCTCCATCTAAGAGACGGAGAAGCTGAGGCTGCAGAGCGCGGTTCTGGGGGACCAAGAGAAGCTCCCAGCTGCCGAGGCTGGTGAGATAT